CCCCAAACCCTGAAACCTTAAAACCCTAAACCCTAAACCCTAAACCCTTAACCCTAAAGCCCTAAAACCCTAAACCCAAAAGCCCTAAACCCCAAAACCCTAAAACCCTAAACCCCGCAGCCGAAAGGTCTCAGACCCCAGCTCCTAAGCCTGGTTCCATTCCAGTCTCTGCCCGATTCTAAGCTCTGCACCATACCCATAGGCCCCATAGTAGTTCCTTTTTGGGGTTACCTTCATAGGATTCTATATATGAACCCCAAAGAGGAACTACTTTAGGGCCTATGGGTACCCTCATTTCCTTTGTTCCTGGAATCCCAAACACCAAGCCCACGAAGCCCCAGAAAGCCTACACCCTCTGGATCCTGGCTCTTAACGACTTGTTCGGGGAGCTCCGACCCACGTGAAGTGGTGTTTATTGAGTGTGAGGGGCAGTTCAGTTTAAGTTGTTTGGCCGACTGCGACTGCTGTGTTGCGCTGATTTCGACGACCGTGTCGCTTCACTCCGGTACTCCTGCTCCGCAACGTGCATGTTGGGAAACCCACCGGTGGGACCTGAACCCTTGTTGCTTCTTGCACTTCATACCTGCATCCCGAAGACTTTCTGCCAAGCCTTCCTGAACCGTATGTAATCAGCTAGTTCCTTTTCCACTGCAACCACTAGCTCGAGCAGGGCCACACTATAAAAAGTCAAATTTGAGATGTGGTTCATTTGCTTATCCTTCCAGGAAGGAAAGCACGCCTGTGGCAAGCCTCTGCGCACGTTGCCCAGTCAAAGTTCGGATTAAACGTGCCGTTCGAGATAGGGCTATGTTGTTTGGACTTGGCAGCTGTTTTCATCTCCATGACTCCATGGTCAGAGTTTTTGTGGATGCTCGGCTATGGGAGGGTTTTGGTGTTAACATGTGGTACTTCGAGGCTGAATTTTGTAGATTCGCTTTGCAGGATGTGGACACAAGGGCCAAAGTTCACACCTAGTAGTTTTTAGGATGGTAGATGTGCCCAGCTTGGTGCGAATAGTTTCGTGGTGCATCACAACGGTTCGTTGAGTTGCACTCGGCAGTCCCCTTTCGAAGAGCGCAGAGAAAATCGGATCCAGCTGGAGGCAGTGCTAGTTACATGCCGCGCCCGGCCTCGCCCCATCGATAGTTGATTTCCAGCTCAGTAGGACCAATTTTTTTACCGGTCGTCCGAATTCCTGAAGGATCATGAACACAAAAGAAGACTCTTCATTCGATGATCAATCTTCATCCGAAGCCATGCTTGAGGCCGACATGCACGGCTGCTTTGCATTCCTGCTCACCTATGCTAGGCACGTTTATTTTTCGGAAGGGGGAAGTTGTTCTTGGTATTGCCATTCTCTCATTGTTGCTGTACAAGTTCCCGAAGCGCATGCACTTGGAGCGATTGTACAAGTAGTGTCTGGGAGTCTGGGATTTGTTCAGCTTGTTCGAGACAGCCGTCAATGCAAGAAAGAGTTCATGTGTCTTACTTCTGTCCAGGAAAATGAAGTGCCAGCAGAGTCGCACGCAGATTATTGTCGGACATGTCTTGCGTCATTACAGCTTGTGCCAAGAGTGTCGCCGCAGTGTCTTGCGCTGGCAGTGTCGTCTGGGTGCCGTTTGTTAAACTCCCTCCTGTTTCAGAGCAAGCCCGATAGTTCTTGAGGCACCCCGGTGTTGCCCGTGATTGTTTATAGCAACCCTTGTTCTTCATGGGAGCTTGCAGGAAGGCGAAGTCCTTGTTCGCGGTCTTTAGCCGAATTGTCCTGCTATCTTCCCACCCGAAACTTCTGGGAAGGGTTCGACTCTTCAGAGACTTCAGGGTCGAGCCTAACATAGGAGCCCAAATAATTACCTCTACTATTTTGGAGGTTCCTTATTATAACTATAGTATAATCTACCCCAAAAGCCCTATTCTAACTATGAAGGGCCCTACATTAGAAGGAAGCCAAGACAAGCAACCCAGAACTCAGAACCCACAAGCCGGCAAGCGAGCAGACATAAACTCTAATCTCCTGAACTTACGGTTTAGCGTTTAGGGTTCAGGGTTTATGACAAGTTCGGAAAGGTCATCTTGTTCAGCATAGTTTCAGATGCCGTTGATCGGCGGATGCGAAAGCTGGCTCCGCAGTAAAGCTGCTGGGGCTGCTTGCTCCAACTCCGGGCGAAGTGGAAAGCCTGTTGCAAAAAAGGGTTTCAGTTGCACGTAGCTGCATACCCCAGTATTTACAGTCTTTCCAGCTGGGAAGTCCCTGCCCTCGGCATACAATCCGAGCCCGTGCTCAAAACGGGCCCTGAACCCTAAACCTCAAATCCACACCCATAAGACACCATCAAACTTTCCTTTGAACCTACAACCCCCCAAACCCCAAACCCTAAACCCTAAACCCCTAAACCCTAAACCCTCTAAATCAAACCGATCATATGAGCCATCTGAGTTTAAAGCAACAGCTGCAGGTCCCTGCCCTTTGCGGAAAGACCGGACTACGAGAAACTGCGGCTGAGCCTGGTTGTGATTCTTCTGGGCTCCCGGGAAGGTTCAGGCCAAAGAGTTTCAGCGTTAAGGGTTTAGGGCCTTATGAGTGTGGTGATAAATATCCGCACGTGTCCCCTGGGCATGGCTCCCGGCTGATTGGAGAGAGCTCCGGGTTCAGAAGGGCTTATAAGGTTTAAGGGGTTTGGGTCCTGAGGGTTGCAAGATGTGGTCTGAAGGTTCCAGGTGGTTAGTTGTCAAAATTATGGTCCCTTTTGGGGTACCCTATATAATAGGTGCCGTATTATCATAAGGACCCAAAAAAGGGACCATAATTTTGACAACCACCCATGTGCAGGATCGTCTTAGGGGTTACATGCTTCCGAGAATCGGCAGACCAGAGGCGTACTCGGCAGGCCGCCTTCGTGTTAGTTTCTTTCGGCCTCTGCTTCTCAAGTTCAGAGTTCAGGTTCTTGGCTTGCCATAAGCCCTCTGTACGAAATCCTATTAGACTCGTAGACTATAAATTGAAATCCTAAGCCTAAATCCTAAACCTTAAATCCCAAAACCCCTTAAACCCTAAAACCCTTACAGCCTAAACCCTACATGCCCCCTATTCAACCTCGCCTGTGAGCTTCGTTCTCTGCCATGCGAGAGGGAAAAAAACCCTACATCCTAAGCCGGGTAGAACGGAAATATGGAGTCTCCATGATTCCCTGAAAGTTCCCCGCCCTTCTTCGCCTCTTCCAGCTTGGATTCAAAGCTGTGGCCAGGCCTCAGCTCAAAAGTGGCAAGAGTTATAATGACAATAAGAGTAGAAGTAACCTTAGTAGTACTACAATAAAGTAACAATCACAATAAGAGTAGTAACAATATTAATACCCACAACGATAACAATAATAGTGCTAATGGTTATAATCGGAATCTTATCGCAACAGCGGTTACGATAAACTTGCGAATAATCATACTGATATGATGAACTTGTTGACGGTGATGATCACGATGATGACTATTCGTATTATTGGGTAGCGTTTTTTTTTTTTTGAAAAATAGCATTTACTGTGTTGTTGCTGTTGCTGTTGCTGTTGCTGTCGCTGTCGCTGTCGCTGTCGCTGTCGCTGTCGCTGTTGCGGTTGGTGTCGCTGTTGCTGTTGTTGTTGTCGTTGTTGTTGTTGCTGCTGCTGTTGTTGTTGTTCTTGTTGTTGTTGTTGTTGTTGTTGTTGTTGTTGTTGTTGTTGTTGCTGCTGCTGCTGGTGCTGCTGCTGCTGCTGGTGTTGTTGTTGTTGTTGTTGTTGTCGTTGTTGTTGTTGTTGTTGTTGTTGTTGTTGGTGGTGGTGTTGTTGTTGTTGTTGATGTTGATGTTGTCGTTGTTGTTGCTGTTGCT